ATGAGGATTTTAACTTCTATCTGATTAGAAACCTCCTTAATAGAACAGTGTATTAAAAGAAAATCTTTGTAAATGGGTATATCAAAATTAAACTAAAACCTAAGGCATTTTAAAAACTAGATTGTTTAAGATATTATACTAATCCTCTTTTATAATCTAAAAGTACATTTTTTTCTGTGCACAACTTTTTTTATAATGGCAAGTGTAGTTTTTTCTGATTTTTCTTTTTAAAATTATTTTATATATTTTTTACATCATTCTTCATTTTTATATAATGTATGCTTTACTTTCTTGGGTGTAGTCCCTATGAAATTCTCACCACCAATTCACTCAAGAACCATCCCCATAGTCCCTTGTGTTGGTCCCACCGATTTTGATCCTATTCCTTCCTCCCTCCCCACCCCCCATTGTAGAGTGTCTCTGGTTCATAGCTGCCTGTTGATTTTGATTTTTACTTTATTATGATTACTTTCTTTTCCTGGTCCCTTTTTTGTATCCCCTACATTCCTTCTATAAGTTTTTTTTCTTTTTCTTTCTGGCTTATTTCACTGAGCATGACCCCTTCCAGCACCATTCATAAAAATGGCATGAATTTATATTTTTTGATTGCTGAGTAATATTCCATTGTGTATATATACCACATCTTCTTAATCCAGTCATCTATTTTTGGGCATCTGGGTTGTTCCTATAGCTTACCTATTGTAAGCAATGCTGCAATAAACAGAGGGGTGCAAGTGTCCTTTTGAATTAGTATTTTGTGTCCTTTGGGTAGATACCTCGGAGTGGAATTGCTGGATCATATAGAAGCTCTATTTTTAGCAGTTTGGGGAACCTCCACACAGATTTTATTAGTGGTTAGACCAGTTTGCACTTCTATCAGCAAGAGAGTTCCTTTTTTCTCCACATCCTCACCAATATAGTTGTCGCTACTCTTTTTTTTTTTTTGTGCTAGTCTCATGAGATGGTATCTCATTGAGGTTTTTATTTGCATTTCCCTGATTTCTGTGCACATCATCTTCAAGGCCAAAGAGTCATTCTTAAAAATTTAAATTTGAGGGCCCTCCCTGGTGCACAGTGGGTTTAAGCACAGCACCAAGAAGCTAAAGCCGCTTCCGCATGAGTTCAATCCCCGCCTGCCCCCGAGGGATCCCACATGGAGAGGCAGACCTCTCCTGACCCAGCCGCTGCTTCCCT